CACCAAGCCTTGGAGCACATTTGCCACAAGGCCAGCAGCAAGGAAGCTACCCCTGGCCAGGGAAGGATTTTCAGAGATTCTCCCTCCTGGCAGGACTGCAGATGGGGGAAACCCCCCACCCCCAGGTGAGGATTCCCTTTGATACTTCGGGCTATTCGCCACCCTTCTCAGCGTCCAGCTCCCGAGATTTTATTCCAGGTATCAGACATGGAGGGCAGAGGGTGGATGCTCTCCGATGCCCATGGCCCCAGGGGCTCCTCTATGCATATCCACCATTACCCCTGATTCCCAAGGTCATACAGAAAATCCTGTGGGAAGGGGCAGAGGTGATGGTGATTGCCCCACACTGGCCCCAGAGGCCTTGGTTTGCCAATCTCCAATTTCTCTCGTTGGACAGGCCCTGGAGGATCTCCCAGGAGAGGATCTCCCTCAGCCAAGGATCGCTGGAGCACCCGGACCCTCAGTGGCTTCGGTTGACCGCTTGGCGCTTGAGCGGAGCATCCTGAGGGAAGGCCACTTGTCCCCCAGGATGATACAAACTATTCAGGCGGCTCGCAGACCTTCCACAGAGCGCATTTATAGCACTACATGGTGTACCTTTTCAACATGGTGCAGCTCCAGGGGCCCAGGGGCCACGATCCGGTTCGAGCCACAATTCCACAGGTTCTGGACTTCCTTCAGGCAGGCCTGGACAGAGGGTTAGCTCCCAACATGATTAGGAGACAGATCTCGACCATCTCATCGATACTTCTGTGCGGTAGGTCTCAGACCTTGACTCACCACCCTATGGTCAGGTGATTCCTCAAGGAAGCATCCAATCTTAAGCCACATACGGTACACAGGTATCCCTCCTGGGACTTGCATGAGGTGTTGGACGCTCTGAACCCTTGCAAACTGTGTCTCTTAAGTTTTTGACTCTTAAAGTGGCCTTTCTGGTGGCCATCACCTCAATCAGGCAGATATCCGAACTACAGGCTCTATCAGCCAGACAGGATCTCTGTGTGTTCCACCAGGACAGGGTGGTACTAAGGTTGGACTCCTTCTTCATCCCTAAGGTGTGCTCCTGCTTCCATCGCTCGCAGGAATTGATATTGCCCAATTTCTGCCCGGACACTTCTCACCCGTTAAGAGAGGAAGTGGCACACCCTAGACATAAGGAGGGCTCTGAGGATTTACCTCAGAAGAACCTGGCTGAACAGGAAGTCTGAAGCCATGTTTGTTTCTTTCCAGATGGGATCCCTGGGGAACAAGGTGATATCCACCACCATAGGCAGGTGGTTACAAACCTGTATTGTTACCGCCTACCAAGCATGTGGTCTCCAAACACCAAGCTCTATTACAGCGCATTCCACCTCTACAGCCTGGGCCACCCAGGCCTCATTGACTGAGATCTGTAGGGCAGCTACGTGGTCTTCCCCTCACCATTCGTGAGGAACTACAAACTGGACTCCTTTGTCTCTGCAGAGGCTTCATTCAGGCGTAGGGTGTTGCAGGCTGTGCACAGGGTAGAGGTGATGCCTCACCAGGCATAAGGTTGTGCGAGCTCTTNAGAAACTGTACAGGTTGTTATGGCCTTCTCCATAGTGAGGAGAGGAGTAGCCAGGATGGGTTGACCTTGTCCTCTCATTGATTGGGCTGAGTCAGATAAGCTCTTTGGGCCATGCCATGGTCAGCAGGTACCACCCAGTTATCGACTCAGCCCCTCAACGGGTGGCTGTGATCATCCCAAGCTCCTGGAAAATTTTAAAGAAAGGACTGAACTCACTGTTCACCGGATTGCATTTGCTGCCTCCCTGCCTGAGTGAGTAAATGGCTCTTGGCTGATTCCCTGGCCAGGAAGAGAGAAAGAGAGCACACGCAGCAAGCCCTTCAGGGCAACGCGCAACCCAGGTCATAAAGAGAGATC